GGGGCGGGGCGGCGGGGCCTGGGCTTCGCCGGCGTATCCATCGAACCGAGGACGGGGGTTGGGGTTGAAATGACTCTATTGGAATGGGGAACCTAAGACGGACGCTAACTTGCCGAAATCAAAGCACCAGGGGAAGGGAAGGCGTCGGGGGGGGAGCGCGAGGACACCGCCGAGGCGTCACTGTTTACCACCACAGACCGCACGCACATTGGTTACACCTTACGGTTAGTCTTTACAAACAAGCAGTTATGACCCAAAAAATAAAATCATAATGAACATCGCACTTCATATTCATCCTTTCGTGACTTACCAATAGGAAATGAAAAACAAAAACCCGTGCTTTCGAAGACATTGTCGGTCAAAAATGATCCTGACGGAAGAAACATGCCTTACTAGCACACTCATTTAATTATTACTCAAATAAAATTAGCGTGTATTGTAAAAATATTCTCCATGGGACATAACAGGCTATTCCCAATGAAATTCAACATATTGTTTGACAGAACTACATTCAATTAGTTTCATGTTTCCTGAAAGAAAGCACTTCATCATTAAGGGAATAGTATAGAAAAATATAATGATGAAAACACAAATCAAATTTATACACTAGTACACACAATGGTATTTTAAATTCCTAAAAAGCACACCTATGTGAATATGTTTTTATTCTTTCCGTAAAAGATACGAATAAAAGTTGTCAACTAATAAAATAAATTTATCATAAGATATAATAATTTTTTTTTATTATTCTTGTAGTTATTCGTAAGATTGTATGTTAGCTTTAAGAAAAAAGCATTGCATTCATTTCAAATCCTGGTACATGCCCACAATATGCACCATACTATACCTCTTATTAAGAAAATGGAGTTTGTTTCTCACTCGTAGTGAAGGGAAAAACTAAAACAATAAATTAAAAAGAGGAAGAGTATAATAATTCTCTCAAATGAAAACTATATATATAAATATATAGGTAAATAATATCGATATTATTCTATATACGACATTTTCCTAATACGCATTAGCTGTGGTGAAATCTCTTGTAAGTTTGTGATTAAATGGGGGAAAAAAAGGATGAGTCCATGCATAAGCACACGTCAGAAAATCAATTCATTGTCTTTGAAAAATTTTAAGTGAAGTTGACCCATTCCATCTTTATGCATAGATTTTATCGCTCTCTTCGGAATTCAGCAGCCTCTCTTGTTCCAAGAACTTACGTGTTTCATAGCTCTGACGCTTATGCTGTGGCTTTGTAAACATGATCGCCAGAGCCCCAATAAAGGTGACACCAATCGAAGAAATAAAGACGATGAGCGACTTACCCTCATCCGGGTTGTCCGTCAATATCGCGCCAAAAATCAAAGTCAAGATAAGGTTCATAGCGCATGCGGACCACATCAGCATCGGCGCGGACGTGCTCTCCGCCATGGGAAAAGTCAGCTCAACGACGTACTCAAACATTAACGGCATTGTAAAATTCTGGCAAATCCCCGCGATGACACCCCAGCAAACAAACATCACCCCTGTGTAGTAGACGGTACCGGCCTGGCGTGGGCTAAAGTGAACCAGCAGCGTCATCAGCGCCAGATCCCCCACCAGCACCAACGCGGTGATGGACAGGATCAGTTTATAGCGATTGTTAAAGCGCTCCACCAGGGACATCATAAAAGGGCACACCAAGGTCCCCAACACGAGGTTCACAAAGCTGATCCACCCCGTCATGGCCTCGCTAATGCCGTAGGGCTTAAAGACCTGCGGAAGGACGGTCGCCATGGACCACACCAGCCCTAATTCCGCCGCGGACATCACAATCAGCAGCACCACCGACCTGCTCTGTCGGCACATTCGATAGCAGTCCATCAGGACGGAAAAGACATTCACCGGGTCGACCTCGTCCGCGGAGGTCAGCGTTGGGGGGGGTCGCGGGCCGTTGGGGGATCCGGAAGAGGGGGAAGGACCTCCCGGGCCCTCTTTTCCTCCTCCGCCCCTTCCTTGGCGCGTCCGTTGAGCTCCGAGGTGGGGGTGGTATGGCCATCCCCCGGCGGTTCCTTTGTGTGGGAGGCCCTTAGCCACTTTAGACGGGCATCCTCCTTGTCTTGTTGGATCTGCGCGGCGAAGCTGGCCGCGTAGCGCGGTCGCTTCGGGAGCCAAAAAAGAATCATCCCAAAGGCCGCCGTGCAGATCGCGAAGTTGAACCAAAACAACTTCGCAAAGTCCGTCTTCGCGTACCGATCCGGCCCTACAAAGAAGGTCGGGACCAGGACCCCAATCCCACAGCCGAGGTTCAGGGAGGAGGACAGGATGGTGTTCGCGATCCCGCGCTCTTTCTTGGGAAACCAGCGATTGGCAATCAGCGGGGGGGCCGCGATGATGAGAACCTCCGTGAGGGAATTCACCACCTGCGAGATAAACAGCAGCGCGGGATTAGGCCAGACGTAGAGCGCAATCATCTTAATCCACGCCCCCATCGCGTTGAACAGCGCGGCGAGTACCAGGGTGATCTTGATTCCGGCAATCTCGTAGAGCTTACAGCTGATGAAGACAATAGAAATGTAGGAAATGACATAGATCGTGGGTAGCATGTTGACCTGTGCGGCGTTCATATGAAAATAGATCCGAACCTCATCAACAATGGAGGAGAAAGCGATCCATTGCATGGCATTGGTAATAGACAAAAACGAAAATAACACCATGACGACAAATCGTAATGTGTCTGCACGCATGCTACTGCGGATAGTATTCTTCCTGGAAAGGCGGTCTTCATCCGCAGTGGAAGTTGGGTCTATGGCGGATCGGCCGGTTGGTAATTTTTCGGAAAACTCTTGAGGTGATTCGATGGGTTCATTCACACCACCACGTTTGGCCGAGTCCTCAACGGTGCGCTTGTGCAGGGCCTGATGGCTGTCCATTCCTGATTCTATGCCGATAGTTCAATTACAGTTAAATATGTTCTCAACAGTGATCTCTTTCCCTTTCTATATAAATATAAATATATATTTTTATATATTTATATATTATGGGAGTAAGTATTACTGAAATTCGAAATTATAGAATAAAAGCTTAATGAATTATAAAATGAAGTTCTTTAATATGCACCAAAATTCTAGAGACATAAACATAAAGGGACACATAATAGATCACTTTACCGACGTAACCATAACCATAATCACAGCAAATACTCATCTGTAGAAGTTCATTGGTTTTCACTCATTCTGGCGCTTTTAATATTTGCGCTGAGAAGTCATAAAACGGGCCTGCGCCAACCTTCCTTTCTAAATTATATTTGATTATCGCAACACAAAGTAGAGTCATCAATGTCAAAAGCAAAGAGTTGGGGAAGTGGCTGTCGCGATGGTTACGATAATTCCTTCGAAGTAGGTCCAGCTCCCTCTTTTATTGTTCAGTTGTGAAAAAAAAAGGAAACAACACCGAAAGAAACCTATAAAAAAAGCTCTACTGGAAGCATCCACTACGACACATGCCTACATGAAACAGGAATAATTTTTAATAACCGTATGAGTTAGCTTATCTGTATTTCAACTCTTCCCTTCACACGTAATGAGAAAGGGGGAGTTTTCAGGTTACTAGGTAAAAACTCTGCAAAGGAAAATACATCACACAATTCTCTTCAGTATCAAATACATGCCCCGATGTGAGATCATCCCTCATTTTCTTCCATTCTCCATCTCTTGACATCGGTTTCAGGTGAGTATATATTACTTTTCTATTTTTTTTTTCATTTCCTGTACTACTATTGGTGTTGAAAAAATATAAAATAATATAGAGAAGAATACCAAATATATTTAGAAATGTGTTCATATTCAAAATGTGCAAAAGAAAACCTATATAAAAAAAATAGAATCAAACATCGCCTGATGAAAGTAGAACAAGCAGAAGTCTGTGGGTATTTTAAATAGATATTGGATAAAATCTATGCGCGATAAAAAAGGAACAGTCTAACGCAATGATGAAAAAAGTATGACAAAAAGAAACAGTTACCACACATAACCCCTTTCCTTCCGCAGTCCTACTATCCATCATGCATAAAAACTGTTAATTTATTCGCTCTCTGTCCTAGTAACTATAAAGGGTATCGCAACCCTTCTATCCTACCAATCTTCCATATTCACTAAAGACCAAATCACACACACACACACACTCCTTGACTCAACCCTCCTCTGGTTGGAGTCTTCAATCCCTTACACTTCAGGCCCCCTTGATGATAAAAGAGGAAAAAGTCCACCTGACCTACTCGATGCGCTATGGTCTTTGATTACCGGGACGATACCCACCGCCATTGCCCCAACGCATCGAGCTGGGGCCATAACCGCCGCCGTCGGATCGGTTTCCCTCCTGGCGATAGGAGGAGGATTGCTCGTGAAATTGCGAAAACCCGAAGCTCTCTGTGAGGGCGTTCTGCAAGAAGTGCTCAATCGTCACCCCGAAGTGGTTATCAAACCGGACGGACCAGGGCTCCCGTTTATCCGACATCAGGCGCTGCACGCTGCCGGACAGGACGTAGCCCCCCGCCGCGGCCTTCTCGAAGATCAAATCATAGGCGTTGTTCTGCATCGCGTGGCGTTCGACGCGGCCCTCGACGACGGCCACGAACCCCGCCATGTCCATGTGCCGCATCCGCAGCGAAATCCGCCGCTCGAAGTCGAACTGCGGGGTGTCGTCATTCGGGTCCATCTTCCGCGGCCCGAGCTGGGGGTACTGCAGGAAGAGGAGCTGCTTGCTGTCCACGGCGATGCGGGTCATG